GCTTCTCTTCTGTTGTTCACATCTTTTCTCTTAAGAAATTTACTTCCCGTCAGGCTCAGTGCACAAATGGTGCCAAGCACGACTTGAGTCATGAATATTAATAATGTTATGTGACGTTCGCACTGATTTGCTGAAAGGTGGATGTTTTTAGGTGAGTGCACTTGCAATAGTGGGATCACTGTTTGCCGCCTGTGCATTCGTTCAGCCAGTCAATTGGCAGATACTTCTGCTGGAAGGCCTTTTATGTGCCAGCTACATTTTCTTTTCCTTCACACTGCAGCCCAGCTTTTGTTTATTTTTGGAGGAAATAGGAATAGGAAATGTTGGAGGACAGAGTTTTATGCTAAAAGTCAGTGGAAGTCAGTGGTCACCAAACCTGTTTAGTTACATTCTTCCAAATATGTTATTTTCTGTTCCACAGAAGAAAGAAAGTCATACAGGTTTGAAAAAACATGAAGGGGAGTAAATGATCATTTTTGGATGGACTATTCCTTTTATGTTCATAGTCACTATGCAAGTATCGTTAAATTTACATATCATTTACTCTGATATGTTTCTCACTAACCCCTCTTCCCTCTTTTTGTCCGAATACAGATTGCATGCCCCATTTTTGCGGGCCTGCTGCATTTCTTCTTCCTGGCTGCGTTCTCCTGGATGTGTCTGGAGGGAATCCAGCTGTATCTGATGCTGGTGGAGGTCTTTGAGAGCGAATACTCCCGAAAGAAATACTACTACCTGTGCGGCTACTGCTTTCCCGCCCTTGTGGTGGGCATCTCAGCAGCCATTGATTACCGCAGCTATGGGACTAAGAAAGCGTACGTGTGAAGCAGTCTATTTGCATTCGGCCATACAAGGGCTGTTGGTTTCTGAGCAGCAGACGCGACCCCCTCTTTAAACAATTTGTTTCATTTAAATGGAGTCCAGCAAAATGGCTCTCTGGGAGTTAAATTCCATACAGTACAGTATCATCTTTCACTAGGAAACGTACACTGGTATTATGTAGTTTGGAGTTCAGTTGGACATTGGTCGCTGTCATGTGATCCTGGCCTAACCAAGGTCATCATGTGAATTATAAATGAAGCCAGTTAAAGATGTTGCAAGCACTCTTTTTTGGAATAGCACGCATAAATCTGACAGATCCTGCTGTGATAATTCACTTTACAAGAACACGTCTCAAAGCTGCATCTCACACTATTTTTAACATTACATCGGAAAACTAATCTTATGTAGGGTTTCCACGTTCATGGAAAACCTTATTTTTATAATACAATTTTTAAAACCTAGTTTATAATCTAATAAATAAAATATGACCCTGGACCACAAAACCAGTCTTAAGTCGCTGGGGTATATTTGTAGCAATAGCCAAAAATACATTGTATGGGTCAAAATGATTGATTTTTCTTTTATGCCAAAAATCATTAGGACATTAAGTAAAGATCATGTTCCTTGAAGATATTAAACTGTATCGCACGTGTGCTACAGTGGTAAATTTATTCATCGCACAGTCCAGTTTTTTCGTAGCACGTGCGACATATATGTCGCACTGTACAGCCCTGATATATATATATATATATATATGGTTAAAAGTTATATAAATCCATTGGTCAAAAGTGTGGGAACCCTAATTTTACTTCTTTGTTTTTGCTAACATTGGGTTGACTGTCATCTCTTTGAAGGGCGGGATTTTGGTGAGAAGGTGTGGTCTAATTTATTGTCTAGCGGAAGTAAAAAAATCGCTTACATACAGCACCTTTAACTGAGCTGATTACTGCATGTGTGTGTGTGTGTGTGTTGCTCCTCGTGTTTGTGTCCACACAAGTGTGTGTTGGTCTGTGTTTATGTGTGTGCGACTGTGGAAAAATAGCACAGCTGCAGACTTTTGAATGTTGACTACAGTGCAGAAAATGAGACGCTGACTCAGTGCACTAATGATTAAAAACTGAGCTTAACCTTCAACTAGACTTTTATTGCTCTTTTATTAGCTTGTTTTTATGCCAAAAAATATATTGTCATCTCGATAGTAAGAATATTTTAAGATATCTTGCAATTATTTCAAAGCAATCGATGATCAATACTGTGCTACTTCATAAAATGTATATGCGATTTTGCCTGTAATGAAGTAAGTGATCATTCTTTGAACAGTAAAATGTTACTGATAAAGTTATCACATGTGTGTTTTGTGTGTAGGTGCTGGTTGAGAGTGGATAACTACTTCATCTGGAGTTTTATCGGCCCTGTGTCCTTCATTATCATGGTATTGTTCTCTCCAAACCTTCAGCGCTCTCTCTGCTTTGCTCACAGAGTTTGTTCTTTTTTTTTCCTCCCTGAAAAGTGCTGCGCTAGTCATCTCAAACAAAGCACTTTTGTTCACCTATGGATCTGTTGCTGCTGACGACTATGTTTTGGCTGTAATATGCTTTATATGAGTGTGGAGCTTAGATTAGGTTTAGATATGGGAACTTGCTGACATTTTCGTAATTACAATATATTTTACTAATGCCTTAGCTCTGTTTTTGTTTTTATTAGTTTGTGAGAAAAAAAGTTTTTTATCTTTCTAAAGTTCTTTTCTTACTTGCATTGGATCTCTCATCTAACACGAACCGAGTGAATTTCTGTATAAATGCTCATATCACCATTCCCATGTAAATTGTTGAATTTAATTGCAGCAATTTAAAGTAGAATGATTTCACGAACAATTTACACAGAAATTCTGCTTGTGTTTTATGAATGAGTCTAATTGTTAGGAAGAAAGCAGTGTTTTAAATTGTCATTCCTGTGTAGATATTTTCTAAAGGGCTTGTCCTTTTTAATTGGCTTTAATTTGTGTCACAATGACATGGAAATTGTTTGTCTTCGTGGAGTCTTTAAGTTACATTTTTCTGTTGTCTTACCTTTGACCTTTAGTTAAACCTGGTGTTCCTCATGATAACACTCCACAAGATGGTCCGTAACTCATCCGCCCTCAAACCCGACTCCAGTCGCCTGGACAACATCAAGTGAGAGTCTTCCACCGCAAAAATATGCATTGTAGTCACATCATCTATGACGTTTTTTTGTTGTATGTTTATGTATTGTGAACGTGTGCATGTTTTCCCTCAGGTCCTGGGCTCTGGGGGCTATCGCACTGCTATTCCTCTTGGGTCTGACCTGGGCCTTCGGCCTCCTCTTCATCAATGAGAACACCGTCATCATGGCGTATCTTTTCACCACCTTTAATGCCTTCCAGGGCATGTTCATCTTCATCTTCCATTGTGCTCTACAGAAAAAGGTCAGTGACATTAATGTTTCATACCCAGATAATACTTTGGAGACACATTTGCTGCAAAATTTCCTCAGAAGTTACCTAAATATGGAAAAAGACAAAAACGGTGGTGTTAAAAATTCTCTTTTAGGAATAGCTTTGGGTTAGGATTCATCTGTACCATGATATTATTAGTTTTATAATTAGCTTTATTTAAAGGTGAAGGATGTAAGTTCTGCACGATTACTTGCACCAAAAGAAAAATACTGATTGTTTTCAAACAGGTTTTCAAGCACTCCATATTTCATTGTTCGACCAAATAAAGCCCCGCCCCCAAACACACGCCATTGGTTGAGCCCTGTGTTGAGGAAGCAGTTTTGAAACTCTAGTTTACCAAGCTACTTACTGTATAAAGTAGTTAAACAGCAGTCAAGCTATCTGAGCTATTAACAAAAAGTAGTTAAATGCATTGAGACTTTACAAGAAGGTACTACGTTATTAAATGTATATGTTAAAAAATTATATCATTAATTTTTACCATTAGAGCTTTTTTTTATCTGACACCGTAAGACACAATGTTTATGCTGACAGCATTAAACAAATACATTTATACAAAATACAAATAATAATACTGCAAATGTTTGAACCAGTAATTGCAACCAGCTTTTCTTTCCTATTGTGACATATATCGCTTATCGAATCAGACAAAAAAGGCAGGACAGGACTTTTGTCAAATTTTACTATTATGTGTTGGGGAAAAAATAGCTTGTTACTGTAAAATATACAGTATTTGCTGTAACAATACTGAAAAATACTAAAAATGTTAGTGACAGAAGTATGGAAATTACACTCCTTGTGAAAAAGTAGTGTGCTTAATTTTATTGAATGCAATTGTAGTGTACTTCAAATATATAAAAAAAAACTGTACTTGCAGATAATATAATATTAATGAATTAAAAGGCCACTTATGTGTACAGTACTTAAAGAGACACTTTCATGACTATGTTTGTAAACATACTTGAGTACACTTTTAAAAAATTCACATTTTTCACTAATTTCAAATTAAACATTTTGCATTAAAGTACATTGAAAATCTAATTAAAAATGTAATCTTTTCCCATGCTTTAAAGAAGTACACTTATTTTGATGTGTTGACTAACAAATTAAAGCATGTATAAAGTACTTGATTTTAATTTATATTACATTTAAAGTTAATATATTTTAAATGTACTTAAAATTGCATTAAAATATTTAAAATTGCAACTTCATCATTATAAACGTGTAATTACGAATACATGACAAAGTATTTTTTGACTACCATAAATGCTTGTCAGTAAATTCAGCAGTATACTTCATATTTCAAAGATAATGTAAGTAATTTTAAAATTACATATAAAGATGTACTTAAGTCCTACTAAGTGGGTCGAAAGCATTTTAAAGTAAAGCTAATTGCATTTACTATAAATTTAAACTATAATGCATTTTTATTTAATTGCAATTAATATGCAGTTATGTGTCTGAAAACATTACATATTATGTTTTCATGTAGATTAGTTGCTTTACCTACAGTAAGTGCTTAAGTGCAAATGTGTTTTAGGTGCATAAGGAGTACAGCAAGTGCCTGCGTCATTCTTACTGCTGCAGTCGCACCTCCACTACGAGCTCTCATGGATCGCTGAAGAATTCTGCCCTTCGTGCCAACAACCGCTACTACACCGGCAGCCAGGCACGTCATGCAGCGGTACACAGACAGGTGACACGCATGCACACTGACAGCATTGCTATTTATAGACTGCTGTTCTGTTCCATATACCAATTCACCTCGCTCACCTGTTTCAGAGTCGAATTCGTCGTATGTGGAACGACACGGTGCGAAAGCAGACAGAGTCATCCTTCATGGCTGGAGACATCAACAGCACTCCCACTCTCAACCGTGGTGAGACCATCCTTCTGCCTTAAAACTTTCCCAGCATGCACCAGAGTCCATCTGTACCTACGTGTCTGTGCTTAAATGGCCATTTTTTTCACTAAAGTCTCTTTCAAGAAAGTCAGTTCCCTCAGCGGCCATATTTGCTACATGTCTATTGTCGTGGCAATTTTCTATTTTCACACTTGTTTTGCACACACACACACACATTAAATAGATGTCCTGTTATCTCTCAGCTTATTGAAAACTCAAGCATATTGAAGCAAACTGTAGCACTCCGAGACAGTCTAAAGCACACTCTTTAGTACAGTGAAGCAAATAATACCGATAATAATAATAATAATTGAGATGAAAATAAAATTCCCTCCACACTATGCAGCTATTTCAGGCATCCATGACTAACTCCTATCTACTTGAAATGCTGAATTCTTAAAAACTGCTGGCTAAATTCACATTTAAACAGCATATTTTAGCATTAGCAGCAAAATCTGATATGAAAGGTCCCATAAATGTAGTTTCTTAAATAGCACGTAAATAGCATTAAGTTATTAAAAAGCATTAAAAAAAGCATATATTTCAGTTCGGTCCAGCCAATGTGCATATGCAATGTCAAGCCCGCGTCTCAGGACAATGACTGTCTCTATGGGAACCAAAGCTTCTGTGACTTTACCAATTGGCGATTGGCACTTTTATTTATAGCGCGGGACTTATTCCGCCATATTGCATGTTGCATTTTCTCCCATTCATAGTAATATAAGTGAACCGCCTTGGTATATATACAATCTTTGGGTTCTCTTATAATATTAGTAGTGTTTTTCTATGCAGCAGAACAGCCAGGTTTAGTTTTTCATTCATATTTTCTTCTATTTCTTTGACCCTTAGAATGAAATGGGCTATTTTTTGCTCTTTTCACATGTGAAATGAGAAACAGCGCTCACAAACAGGCTGTGGGTTTTGTTGTCGTGGTCAATTTTTTATTTTATTTTATTGTTCTGCCTATTTTATCATTAACAGCTTCTTTGCAAAGCCTGCATTACATTGAGACATATTCACCAATAATCTATGCTGAAATGCACCACACAAACTGTTAAAGTGTTTTGGCAGATTTTACCATATTTAAATTAGTTTAATTAAAATCTTTACTTGCTCATTACATTCAGTTTTTTTTTACCAGTGTTATTTAATTATTATATATATATACTATTATAGTATTAATAAATATTTTGAAAACTTTATTATTTCTATATTTGTAGCTTTTATTTTAATTTTAGTTTGTTTTAGTCGTGCTTTTGTCATTCTTATTAGTATTTTTTAATATTTCCATTTAGCTTTAATTTATTTTTATTTCAGTTTTAGTTTTGCTAATATTAGTACTTCAACTTCAACTTATTTTATTTCAGTTTTTTAAAGTTTTTTTCAACTTTACTTCAGCTAACAAAAAAATTATTTTTAATAATTTTTAATTTTAGTTATTAGTATTTAGTTATATCAATAACTGTTTTATAAGACCTTGATTTTTGCAGATTAGTTTTAATAAATTCATTTTTGAGTTCAAAAAGGCTTGTGTTCATAATACAGTGAACTCTCAAACAGATATTAGATTTTTTCATGATCTGGCCTTTTTAAATACGTTCAGCACTTAAATGTTGGACTGTAAAGGGAGACTACGCGATAGTTAATAGAGAAAGAATGCGAGAGGCAGGCTGTTTCCATCACCAGATCCTGAGTGTGGCGTCACCACCATTCTGATCATCCCAGGGATCAATGTTTGCCGTAAATAGCATTAAGTTATTAAAAAGCATTAAAAAAAGCATATATTTCAGTTCGGTCCAGCCAATGTGCATATGCAATGTCAAGCCCGCGTCTCAGGACAATGACTGTCTCTATGGGAACCAAAGCTTCTGTGACTTTACCAATTGGCGATTGGCACTTTTATTTATAGCGCGGGACTTATTCCGCCATATTGCATGTTGCATTTTCTCCCATTCATAGTAATATAAGTGAACCGCCTTGGTATATATACAATCTTTGGGTTCTCTTATAATATTAGTAGTGTTTTTCTATGCAGCAGAACAGCCAGGTTTAGTTTTTCATTCATATTTTCTTCTATTTCTTTGACCCTTAGAATGAAATGGGCTATTTTTTGCTCTTTTCACATGTGAAATGAGAAACAGCGCTCACAAACAGGCTGTGGGTTTTGTTGTCGTGGTCAATTTTTTATTTTATTTTATTGTTCTGCCTATTTTATCATTAACAGCTTCTTTGCAAAGCCTGCATTACATTGAGACATATTCACCAATAATCTATGCTGAAATGCACCACACAAACTGTTAAAGTGTTTTGGCAGATTTTACCATATTTAAATTAGTTTAATTAAAATCTTTACTTGCTCATTACATTCAGTTTTTTTTTACCAGTGTTATTTAATTATTATATATATATACTATTATAGTATTAATAAATATTTTGAAAACTTTATTATTTCTATATTTGTAGCTTTTATTTTAATTTTAGTTTAAGTTTTAGTCGTGCTTTTGTCATTCTTATTAGTATTTTTTAATATTTCCATTTAGCTTTAATTTATTTTTATTTCAGTTTTAGTTTTGCTAATATTAGTACTTCAACTTCAACTTATTTTATTTCAGTTTTTTAAAGTTTTTTTCAACTTTACTTCAGCTAACAAAAAAATTATTTTTAATAATTTTTAATTTTAGTTATTAGTATTTAGTTATATCAATAACTGTTTTATAAGACCTTGATTTTTGCAGATTAGTTTTAATAAATTCATTAGTTAGTTCAAAAAGGCTTGTGTTCATAATATAGTGAACTCTCAAACAGATATTAGATTTTTTCATGATCTGGCCTTTTTAAATACGTTCAGCACTTAAATGTTGGACTGTAAAGGGAGACTAAGCGATAGTTAATAGAGAAAGAATGCGAGAGGCAGGCTGTTTCCATCACCAGATCCTGAGTGTGGCGTCACCACCGTTCTGATCATCCCAGGGATCAATGTTTGCGGGAGGAGGGGGTGGGGGGTGAAGACAGAGAAGCCGCAGCTAAATCAACTGCCACTCTTTATGCTAATTCTATCCATTTTGTTTTTAATGAAGTGATTAGCCGCCGAATGAACGGGGGGTAATTACTCTAATTGAGGAGAATGACAGTAGCGTCCTCACTGCAGTGCGCCGATTGTTGCTTTCCGGGGACTTTAATCAAGGCGAGAAAGAGAGAAAGTACGAGACAGAAAGGCAGATCTAAACCATATAGCAGCAAAAAAAGAGAAGAATGGATTCCGGGGAGAGGAAACGGCTTTGTGCCGCGGGACAAAAAGTTTTTTGGATGTTACAAGAGTGACACTCAAGTGAGTCAAAAGACTCTCACAAGACACTCCAGTGAGATATTTACAGGAATTAAAGGCATGTTCAAAGGTTCAGTACAAGTGAATCTCTATCGACAGCATTTGTGGCATAATGTTCATCATTACTCAAGGTCTGCACTCTAAAATTCTCTTTATTTAAACAGGAGATATACACAAATAACAGAAGTTTCGGCTTGCTGCCTTCATCAGTGTGACAAGATCTCAGTAACTCAATGATTATATGAAGATCAACAATGACCCACAAGTGGTGGTAATTAGGTTTCCAAATTCACAGACTCCAGATCAGTTCAATTAAAGAAGGATCTGAAGCTAAAATGAACCAATATTTATTTACAATAGATTTAATCTTATGGCTATTTTTTTGTGTAGGTTGAAATATAATTTACTGAAAATTGTTCCTTCTGTTGTTTTTTTTGATAGTTCAATAACTGAAATCTCTCAGACTTTTTTACTTTTTCAACTGCTGAATGAAACCAAGTTTGTGGATAACCTCTTGAACAAAAACGATTCTTCAAAATTATTGACTGTTTCTCAAATTCCTCTTCTGAATCACAAATACGTCTAAGTCTATAGAGTTGACTTAATGGTAACCCTTTTTTCAGAGGCAGTGGGTGATGACTATCCGCAGACAATAATGTATTTTTGTCTGTTGGTTCACGGAACACTGTGGTGGAGATCTTGTTGTTTATATTTGATAACAAGTGCAGTTTCTGTGGTATGGTGGGGCCTGAAACCTGACTGAAATTATTCATAGAGATCATTAGTTCCATCTAATAGCAACAAATTTCAACAAAAGCTTAAACAAAAATCAATGGGGACAATAACACATCAGGCAAAAACATGCCGGTCATACACATTGCTCTCAAAAAAAAAATTTTTTTTTACAAGAAACATGAAAGATCAAAATCCTCATTTAAACCCAAAGGTGACATGGTGCTTAAATAAAACATCCAAGACGCCTCTCTTTCTAAGAATTCAAACAAATCCTCTTCACTTCCTTTCCAAATGAGAAAACAATCATCAATGTATCTTGCCCAGTGCTTAATGAAACTTCCAAAAGGATTATTATTGTAAATAAAATCCAATTCAAATTTACCCATGAACAGGTTAGCATAACTTGGTGCTAGATGTGTGCCCATAGCGGTACCTTGTGTCTGGAGGTAATACTCTTTGTCAAACAAAAAATAATTGTTGGTTAAAATGAATTTGGTCAAATCCAAGATATACTGTGAAGGTAATCTTGGATTCTGTAGGGTTTTGAGAAATAATCTAAAGATTCTAAACCTTCTTTGTGTGGAATTGAGGTGTACAAAGATGTTACATCTAGTGTTACTAACCAATCTTGGTCATCTAAATTGGAATAGGGTTGTAGTTTAGTTAAAAATCTGTTGTATCTCTCAAATAAGAAGGCAATTGTTTCACTAGTGGTTGTAAATAATAATCTATAAATATAGACAATTTTTCAGTGAGGGAGCCAGTGCCAGATACTATAGGTTGATAAGGAGGATCTACAATAGATTTGTGTATTTTGGGTAAAGCATAAAGCACTGGGACAACTGGATGATGATTTGTTAACCATTTGGATTCTTGTTCTGTTATCCATTTCTCTACAACACCACTTTTTAACATC